AGGTAGCAGGCCTGCAAAACAATGATGGAAGCAAAGGTCCAAGACAGAGCATGGGTATGTGGGGAAGGGAGAGAGAAGAGAGAGCAGAGAGAGAGGGGTGGGCCAGGCAGGGGGAAATGGGAGTCCATTGTCAAGGCCTGGAATGTTCCCCCCGAGGAGGGTGGGGCCAGTCCCTGGACCACGGGAGGGAAAGGCCTGAGTAGAGTATGTGGCTGTCTTGTCAGGGCAGTGGCACTGGTATCTGGACATGTGTCCCTGCAGACAGAGCTGGTCAGTGTGTCCCCTCCTTGCTGTCTGTCTTGTGATTAGCACTGTGGCCAGGCCACAGTAGGGTCACTCTCGGCTCCAGTCCCTGGTGGGCCTGCACTCCTGGGACTTTGAACCCTTGAAGGTTAGTTTGACAGGGGTGGCTGGGGGACTCCTAAAAGATCAGGGCAGGATGAGAGCCCTGGAGTTTTCAGCCCATCCCTAAGACCTCTGGGGACCTGGCACTTCGGTCATCAGTGACATAGTAGTGTTTACACAAGGAAGCGCCTGTGAAAGCCCTAACAAGGGGCTTGATGTAGATGCAGGGCTGGGAGGAGGGTTACCGGAAGGGGGTGCATCGGCTCTGTGCCTCCCTTGCACCCAGTTTCACTCCTTTCGGCTGTGCCTGTTTGTATCCTTCAAGCCAGGAAAGTGGCTGCCTGAGTCCTGCGAGCTGTTCGGAAAGGTTACTGAGCCTGAGGAGGAAGTTGTGGGACCCCGTATTTAGCTAATCAGAGGTCAGGAGGGCAACGGGGCTGTGATGATGTCTGAAGTGGCTCATGTTGTGAGGCTGAGCCCTAGACTAACCAACTGTTGTTAGAACTGAATTGACTCAGGTGGGTCCAGAGAGTTGGAGGCGTGGCTGGGAAATGGTGTTGGGAAAACCCCATATGTTTGGTGTCAGCAGTGGTGAGAGCAAACAGTTCTTACAGATAACATCTTGCTTAGAGGGAAGGAAACATGCCTTAAAAGAAGACAGTGAGAATGCAAAATGATGGAACCACCGTAAAAAATAGGGTGGGTCGCTCATCAAAGCGGTGATGTAGAATTAGGGCTAGATCCTACAGTTCTTTTCTGGGAACAAAGCCCACAAAAGTGAAATCAGAGACCCAGACAGATAGACTTCACCATGCTGATGGCAGCACTGCCCACAGTGGCCGGCAGGTGGAGGCAGCTCATGGCTGTCCATCCAGGGATGACTGGGTGAGCCATGTTCACCAGTCCACTGATGGATGGTCACTCAGCCAAGCTAAAACAGGGATGGACCTTAAGGACGCTGTGCTGAGTGAAATAAGCCGACAGACACTGTTTCATCCATGTGGGGTTCCTAGAATTGACAGATCCACAGACAGAGGAGAATAGTAACATCCAGGGACTAGAGGAAGTTTGAGGACAAGAGTTTGAGAAGATGAAAGCCTTCTGGAGGTGGAAGGTGGTGATGGCTACAAGAACAGTGTGGACATCCTGCACTTAAAAATAGTCAAAATTGGGTTTGGGGATTTAGCTCAGTAGTAGAGCGCTGGGTTCAGTCCTCAGCTCCAAAAAAAAAAAGACAAAAAAATACAACAAACCCATAGCCAACATCATCCTAAATGAAGAAAAACTGGAAGCGTTCCCATTAAAATCAGGAACCAGACAGGGCTGTCCACCATCTCCACTCCTTTTCAATATAGTACTTGAAACTCTTGCAAGAGCAGTAAGAAAAGAGAGGGAAATTAAAGTAGTAATAATTGGAAAAGGGTCAAATTATCCCTATTTGCAGATGATATGATATTATACATAAGAGATCCCAAAAATCTCACTATAAAACTGTCAGAATTGATTAATACTTTCATTAAAGTGGCAGGGTACAAAAATCAACTTACAAAAACCAGTAGCCTTTCTATATACCAATAACAAACAACCAGAAAAAGCACTCAAGGAAACCCTCCCACTCTCAATAGCCTTAAAAAGATAAAATATTTAGTAATAAACCTAACCAGAGATATTAAAGATCTCTATAATGAACATTTCAAAACTCTAAAGAAAGATAGCAGAAGGGCAGCTGGGTCTAAATAGGGAGTTCCAGGTTCCAGGACAGCTGGGGCTAAAGGGAGGTGCTTTCTCAAAAAGACCAAAAAAAAAAAAATAGTCAAAATGGTAAATTTTATTACAAAATAAAAAGTAGAAAAAAAGAAAAAAAGGTTGACTGTCAGTGAGCGTACACGTCACCAAAAGATAGATGAGCAACAGACAGACACAAAGCAAAGCGAAGCAAAGGTAAACTTGTAGGATGATTAAATTAAAGATAGAAATAATATAAAAGGACCAGTAAGTTACCAGTCAAGGAGATGAAGAAGGGGGTGCCACTTGGGTGGAGGGGGAGCTGGGGAGGTCACTCATCCTTGGTTAGACCAGCACTTTCTTGGACATGCACAGAACACCTCGAGTTCCGGACAGCCGGATTTAGACCCCTCTGCCGGCAGGGATGGATGTCTACCTGCTTCAGGTCCTGTAATACTAAAAGGACAGGCATATCTGTACCACCACCCCGTCCATGCCCTGCTGTGGTGATAAGGCCTCTGCCAGGCTGTGGTGAGGGGTATAGCCACATCCCAACATGGTGGATGCCATCGTGGCAGAGATGTGTGTGAAAGGAGAGAGGACATGGTGTGAGGTGGGAAGGAGTCAGAGCTCAGGCTGGGCTTGCTGCCTTTTGTTTTTAAATAACAACTCACTCTGGAGGGAATTAGGGTCCAGAGAGAAGTACATCAATCTCTTCTCTGGGGGTGGTGCCTCATGACCTAAACACTTTTTGATCCTGGTTCCATTACCCCTCCAGGCTTCCAGCTCATGAACCCTTGGGGGGTACATTCAAACCACATCCAAACCATAGCAACAGCTTTTGCCAACAAATGTGAAAATTTATAATGGAAAAATTCCCAGAAACCAGAACTTAACCCAAAAGAAACAATTTGAAAAGTTCCATGTTAAAGCAACCAAGTCCAGAGTGGGAAATCTTCCATACTGGTTCCCTGCCCCACTTGCCTCAGTTCCACCATCAGGACCAGAAAGGCTCGACCCTTCCTACTGCACAGTGAGCCCCCCATTTCATGTGTAATTTGAGGAGTCTTCAAATTCACCAAGCCCAATGTGTTCCCCCCGGGATCCAAGCTCAGGGCTCCCAAGCCTGCCCCATGTCTCCAGTTCTAGGTATCAGGCCTGGGGCACTGGCTGCTCTGGGACACTGTGCAGAGATTACTGGGGACAGGGACAGATGAAACGAGGGGAAGGCAGCTCTGATCAGAGGAAGAGGGAGGCTGATGGGCTTTTCCAAGGACAGGGAGCAGTCAAAACCCACACTCCTGGTCATGTAGGAGGCTTCCCTGACTCAACCTTTCTCTTCTCTGGGCCCACAAGTCCCTCATCTGTAGCCAGAGGAACTGGAGGTCCTTACAGTCCTGACACCAGTCTAGATGAGCCTATCTGGGCATCTCATGGCGCCTGCCTGCTGCCTGCTTACCTGGTGTAATTGCATCAAGATTTCAATCACACTGTGCAAATAGCACATATGGCTGGGTGGGCAGAGCAGGCCTTACCAGGCTCTATATGACTTGCAGATGATGGCTTCCCAGGGACAGTGGGATTGGGGGCAGACAGAAGACCCCAGCACCATGCCCAGGGAAATTTGCATACTTCTGGGATTTTCCCTCAAGTCCACTGTCAGGTACACAACCAACCACATCTCCATTCAAGCCTCAAAGGGACTGCTCAAGCCCTTACAAGGTGATGTGAGGCTCAAATGGGATGCTGAACCATGAACATCTTGTGAGCTGTGGCCTGCTGGCCCTCTCCCTGAATCCATCATTAACCAGTCCCAGTCTTAGAACTGAGAGCTCAGCCTGAGACCCAATCAAGCACAGCTGGGCAGAGTGGCCTTCCAGGTAAGAGTCCTGACCCAGGATACTCTCTTGTCCTGTTGCTTCAACTTATTTACATTTTTAGACTTTTTTATTGCATTCATTTATTTGTATGCATGGAGGCCAGAGGACAACTTGTAGGAGTCAATTCCCTCTTTCTATCATGTGGGTCCCAGGGATCAAACTCAGGTCATCAGGCTTGGTGGCAAGTACCTTTAACCGCTGAACTGTCTCACTGGCCCCAACTGACTTAAATACACTTCTTGTGTCATGGTCTGCCTTATGTGGGCAGATGTGTGTGTTTGTCTGCACAATGATGCTATCACACCATTCAGCCACCTGGCACCATCTGTGGGCAGTTACTCCTTTCAGGGGATCTTTATGTATTGTTTACCTAGACCACGTCAACCCCCTGCAGCATGGTTTTGAGGGTCTGAGGGCTGGGTTAATGAACACTCTGAGTCAGGAGGTCCATCTGGGGTGCACTGAGATCCTCAAGGGGGTGGGAACTGCCTGGGCATTGTATCTAGAACTGATAACACAGTGCAAGGGAAGCAGGATGTGTGAGGCTTGGGAGGAGGGACAGCAGAACTGGGCAGTAGGTGGGTTCTAGGGAACAGGGTGTGGTGGAGGGGAGGGGGACCCTGGGATAATGCCACCGTTACTGTTTTGCAGGTAGGTGCCATGAAGACAGACAGACTTTGGGATCTTGCAGAATGGGTATTGTGGACACCCCAAATGGAAACTCCTCTTCTGGGAAGCCCAGCTCCTTCCACCAAGAGAGCAGTGGAGCCCAGGATGTCAGTGCAGAGAGCCCCCTGTCCGTCCTACCCTGGTGTACAGGCTGCAAGCCTGAGGCTCCGGAGGGGCTGGCCTTCTGAACTGCTTTAGCAAGGAGAAGGGCCTATTTAGGGGTCTGCCCTTGTGTGCTCATGTTCACACTGAGCACGTGCATAGGTACAATGTGCTCCTGGGAGTCAGGGAGGTGCAATTGTACCTCCCCTCAGCATCCTGTCTAAAAGTGCTCACAGGACCTGCTCTCCAGGGGTCATGGAGGGCAGCCACTTCACTGACCTGGATCACGGTGTCCAGCCCCAGCTGGGACTGCTCAGTTGTATCTCCGTCACCAGGCTCACTGGAGGTGGAGCTCATCGTGGGCTAGAGCACGGAACCTCAGAGAGGCAGGGTCTGGGCTCCTGGGTGGATCCCCTCCTTGGGCCTCATACAGCCAGGACCTTCCTCATTGCAACTCCCTGCACCCGTGCAGCACCTGGCGCCACTGCCCTGGTCCTGTAGTGTTGAATTTACTTGAGCCTGGGCACCCTGCTGCCCCACCTTGATTGGCGAGACCACACACCAAACAAGCCCATGAATGTTGCTGGGACAACCAGGACGCTGAGGGCTGGGTTTCCCTGGAAACAGGAGTAAGGGCTTGTTATGCGGACGAAAGCTGTTGGCAGAAGCCGTTTCTCTGGAGACCTGCAGTGAAGCTGTCCTGAGGGAGGGGCCCACGGCTTCCCAGCCCCGCCCCCCACCCCAATTCACTGCCTGGAGGTGCTGTTTGCTGCTGACCACACCCAAGGATGCAGACCACAAGCTCATTCTTCATTCAGAGTCACAAACTGACTTTTACTTAACATGTGTCAACTAGCTTAGCAAACAGTAGTGAGATGCTATCACAAATGGTCCCCTGGGGGGACGGGGCTGGGGGCATGGGAGGGAAGGACCTGCCCAAGGAGCAAAGGAGGTCCCATCTTCTACATACTTCCTCTTGGAGTCTCACTGGCCACCTGCATTGCAGTGCATTCCACCTGGGTTATATAAAGTCACATCTCTCCCCACTTACTCAACCCATAAGGTTCATAGGATGGAGTCAGGGAAGTTAGCTGCTGCCCTGCAAAGTGAGGAGGGGCTCTGCAGGCCTTCACTCCAGGGCAGGATGGCTCCTATGGGTGGCACTCCCAGGCTAGCTGTAGTGTGCTAGCCCGGGCCTCTGGGTGCCTGGGGACTGGGTTTAGCACCCATGGGCAGCTGTGCTAGGGTCCTACTCCATCTTGCTCCTCCCCTCGGGGGCTCCTCAATCTAAGCCAGGGCCTTCCTGAGCCAGATGGAGGGGCTGCCACGTGGGGTGAGCCCTACTGGTAAAAGTGGTCACACCTCCTGTGAGGGAGGCCTATCAGGGGGGCTGTAAGGATGGGGTGCACACTGTGTCTCTCAAAGATTTGGGCTCTGGGATTATCCTAGCAGACCAGGGGCAGTCTGCCAGAGAAGGCCAGGATGGACAGGGCAGTGAAAGCAGGTGCTTGGTGGGTCAGTGTGTCTATCCCCTGGCCTGCTGAGGGGGCTTGATGGGGTTCAGACCACTTCCTAAGCCCTGGAATTCAGAGAGGGGAGGTGCCTATACCCAGGGAACTTTCCCCCTGATGTGCCTTTGCTCTGTTTACCAGGGGAATCCAGGATCCCTGCTTGCCCAGCTTCTGATAAGACAGCTGCTTGGTTCGCCCATGCAGGCACAGGCCAGGTTCTCATGGATACCTCCATTAGGTATCCAAGGGCTGGGATTCTTTGGTTAGTCCTAGGGTGGGGTGGGGGGTCAGTTCCTTCTGCTTCAGTGCCTCTAGGCCAGCAAGGCCTCTGGCTCCAGGTTCAGACCCCAGAGGCCCCAGGCATGATCTGGGTTGCTCCCTGGTAGCCTCCCAGCTGATGGTATCCCTATCCTCCCAGGAGCCCCTATGGCTGCAGACTGTTCATCCTATGGGACCTCATCCTAAAGACAGCCCAAGAAGTTTAAGGAAGGAAGAAGTGGAGGGCGAGTGTCTCACCTAGATGAAGGTTTCTTTGGTGTGGGGAGAATGTGTGCATGTGGGGAAGAGGGATTTGGTGTGGAGCCCCTGGGCAGGGATGGGGTAAAGAGGCCGAAGGGTTAGGGGTGGCCTTCCACTAAGGCCCCTTGGTTAAACTGAAATAAGATGTCACTGACCAGAAACAAGTCCAACTTCAGGGGGTTCTGGAAGCCTGAGCATGGGGTGTGGTGGAGGTTGGGGACTTGCAAAGACTCTTCTGACCTGAAGACCTGTGCCCTGGCCAAAGCTGATGATCAAAATACCTTCTATGTCTTACACCTCTTTGCCCCCCAACTTCTAGCTCATGAACTCTTTGGGGGCACATTCAAACCACATCTAAACCACAGCAATAGCTTTTGCCAATAAATGTGAAAATAAAACATGTCCCTCACTTCAATCTGGGATCAGGTCTGACTTGAGGCCTGGAAATTGCTCTCTGGCTGCTGATGTGCCCTGGGGGTAAGACTGAAGGGAAGCATGGGGTATTCCAGTCTCCCAGCTGGAACAGCCCTGCTTGCCTGGGCTTGTTACCTTCACCTTAGCCCTAAGGCGGCAGCTCCTTCTGGCTACCTGTGGGCTTCTTCCTTAGGCAGTGGGGGTGTTTCCAAGCTCAGGCTGCGTCTTACCCCGAGTTACTCCATCATGTGTAAATAGTGGTTTTTCAGGCTGTGCTTTGTCCTAGGAGGCTCCATTTTACAAGCAGCTTTTGACTGAAAGAAACTGTAGCACCTGTCAGGTACCATGTGTCAGGTACCACGTGTCAGGCACACAGTGATGATGAAATAGAATAGAATAGAATAGAATAGAATAGAATAGAATAGAATAGAATGTACAAGTGTACAAGTGTATTGGGGTGAACTAAAACTGGGGGTGCATGGGTGTATTAAAATTATATCAGAGAAACCAGACCGAAGAGCTTATTGGACACTGCAGGCCAAGTAAAAGGTACAAGCCCCTTGCCTAGAGCCCATTAAAGTGCTGGACACCTAACATTTTGGTGGCATGGCTCTATATTAACCTATAGTCTGTGTGTCAAGGGCTGACAAGCAGAAGGGCTCTCTGTCCCTGAAGCATTGGTCCAACTTGGTCTCCTGTTGTTGACATAGTGTGCTCAACTGCCTGTCTATCCACCTGTTCACCTGTCTGGACCTGGTCCCCCAGCTCAGCTTTTCACCTCCCAGCTGAACTCTGTAGCTTCAAGTCACTCCCAGCACTGGTCTAGTTCGTTATCTTTTCAAAAATATTTTATTAATTTTTTATGTGTGCGAGTGTATTGCCTACATGTATATAAGTGCACCTGTGTCATGCAATGCCTGGGTAGGTCAGAAGAGAGTATTGGATCCCCTGGAACTGGAGTTACGGTCGGTTGTTAGTACCATGTGGTGCTGGGAATCGAACCTGGGTCCTCTGCAAAAGCAGCCAGTACTCTTAGCTGCTGAGCCATCTCTCCAGCTCCTGGTTCATTAATAAAAGACTCAGCACATTTCTAAATCCTCTTGAACTCTGCTACAGCCTCTTTGACTTGTAATGGTTCTGAAACCCGTATATATATATATGTATATGTATATGTAGTATATATATATGTATATGTATATGTATATGTATATAGATAGATAGATATATACATATATATGTGTGTGTGTATAGATATGTAGATATATTTACTGGAATAAAAGAGCCTGTATTCACCTCAACCAGACTCTCAAGGTGTGTGGGATTATATGACAAATTGCTGTCATTGAAACTACTAACCCTTGTGAATTTATTGATAGTTAATAAATTCTGACACTGTAGAAAGACACAAACGTTTTCATCTATATTTCTGGCATAGCACACTTATGACAAAGGGGTTTCCTGGGAGTGTCTTAGAAACAGGAGGGCTGGTCCCCACGGGGAGCCACTTTGTTCCCCATCCAGGCATACTTTCTGACCCCTCTATTCAGCTTCTAGGCCATGGGATGTGCTCCACCAGATGACACCTGATTGGCTGGGCCCAATCCTGTGTGGCCTATGGATATGGCTTCTGGTCCAGGTCTGTTGTTGATGGACAAGGAGAGCCCTCAGACTGGCCATTAGGGATGTTGGGACTCAGGGAGAGCCCAAGCCAGTCCTAGTCCTCATCCTAAGGGCTGGACTCTTGGACACTGGAGCCTGAGCCTCCTGCCCTAAGATCTAGTGAATGAGCTCCATCCGCAGTTGTCAAGGACTTGCTCTGACCCCACTGTTCACCAGGGAAGCATGGGACTGTCTCTGTCTTTGTCTGTGGCCATCTGCCCAGCAGGCTGTTCAGGAGTGCCATCTCTGTGCTCAGAGGCAGACTCCTTTACAGAGGGGCTTTTTGTCATCATTCCTTCCTCCGTACCTGGAACTTCTGCAGGTGGATGTGCCTCTGACATGGTAAACCCTGGATTTCCAGCTCCTTGGGGGACAATCCACAGCTGTGGAGGTACTGAGCCATGTAGGGTCATGTAGACATCAACATGGCTGGCCTTACGCATGGATAACACAGACACACTAGCAATGGTGGGAGGTCAACCTGGCATAAGTAAGAGATTCTGATTGTGTCTGAACTGTTGCCCAGACCACATCCAGATCAGGGCTGTGAATCAGCATAAGTACAGTGCACAGGGCCCACTTCCTGACCGAGCCTTCAGGGCATGCACTTTGGATGGGGCTCACAGGGGCCTGACCCAGGTCAACTGCCCTCAAGAGCCACTGCTCATGAGTAATGGATGCCGCCTATGGACTGCATGTGTTATAATCCACCCTGTCCCTGGGGCACAGAGTCACCAAAGGAGTAGAGACAGCCTCAGAGAGCGAGTCAGATTCCAGAGTGATTCCAGCCATACAGGCCTGCAACCACCCTGGAACCTCAAGGCTGGTTCAGGGAGCACTGCCTTTGTGCCCTCCGCCCTTTTCATGAAGTTGTCCCTCACATGAACTGTGCTCAGAGGACACAAAGAGCCACTGCAAGGCCGAGCTTCAGAGCCACTGCTGAGATCGAATGACACCACCCTCATTCCTGGCTGTTGAGTGAGGCAGAGAGGTCAGGAGAGGGTTGGGGTGAGGCCGTGGGCACCTGGCCTTCATACAGGAAGTACATACAGGACCTTTTGTGGAGGCTTCTAAAGTCCCTTTCCCACTCCAGGAGGGTTAGGGTCAGGAAGTGACAAATTATGGTGCTCATGGGGACAGTGGATAGCATAAAGAGAAGAGGTCAGCTGTGTTTGAGGGCTACAGATGGGAAAGACCTGAGGGGTTCCCTTTGCAGAGGAGAACCTCACCCTTCACCTGCCCAGTGCTCCCCTGGATTGTTTGAAGGGTGGCTGGGGAACAGTCCAGGACAGTGACTGTTGGGGTGGTTCAGGGACACTGTCCTCTGCCACTCAAGGAATAGTGGAGATTGAATACATAGTCAGGAAAAGGACTGGGATTCTGCCTGCGTGAGAGGATGCAAGGCTACTGGGCACTCACAGCTTGGCCAGGACCACAATGTTCGAGGCCTGACACACTGGCTGTGACTTCCTAGATACAACAACACAAACCCAGACAACGACAGATAACTCCAACTTTATCAAAATCAAAACATTGCGTATCTAAGGACAATATTAAGAAAGAGAAAGGGACAGGCCCCCTGAATATTATGTGAGAAAATATTTGCAAATCATCCATCTGATGGATAAAATTAGAATATATAAAGATCCCTACAGCTCAGCAACACAACACAATTAAAAAGCGAGTAAAGCATGGGAATAGATGTTTCTCTGTACAACACCCACAAAGGACCCCAAGCTCACACACACGAAAATGCTCGACTGATACTAATTATTAGGGGAAAAGCTGTAGCAGGCCGAACTTCACACCCATTACAATGGCTACTATCAAGAAAATAGAAAAATTTACAGATGACAGCATGAATGAATCAGAGGCCTCAGACACTGCGGGGACATAGAATGACGAAACTGCTTAAAAGTGACACGGTGTTCCTCAGAAAAAAATCAAAAATATGCCACGTGATCCAGTGACTCCACCCCTGGGTGTGTACCCAGAACAGAAAACAGAGACTGAAGAGATTTGGCTGCCCAGGTTCACGGCAGCTGGGGTGTCTGCTGATGGGCGAACAGATAAGCAGTATTTGGCTTGTCTGTGCAGTAGACTACATTGCTCAGTGTTGGTGGGAGGGGAAGTTCTGACACATGCTATGGCATGGATGGACCTTGAGGATGTCGAGCTGAGTGAAACAAGACAGTCACAACAAGACAGGACTATGCAATTCCATCTGTATGAGGTTTCTAGAGTCTCCAGATCCAGAGACAGAAAGAAGACTTGACTGAAGGGGGGCTGAGGTGGGGGTGGGGGTGGAGGTGGGTGTCTCATAGGGACAGAGTTGCAGCTTTGAGAAGACGAGGTGTGGAAGGCTGCACAGGGTGAACTTTTTTTTTTTTTTTTTTTTTTTTTTTTTTGGTCTTTTTGAGGCAGGGATTCCTTGTAGCCCCAGCTGTCCTGGAACTCACTATGTAGACCAGGCTGGCCTCGAACTCACAAAGATCCGCCTGCCTTTACCTCCCAAGTGCTGGGATTACAGGCATGTACCACCACGCCCGGCCAAGGGTGAACATTTTTAATGGCAGTAACTTGTGAACTTTAAAATGGCTAAAATGGTAAATGTTATGTTTATTTATCTAAAAAAGCCCCTACTTAACCCC